AATTCTCATTATTAGAGCTGGCACAATAACGGCACTGGTGTTCACAACACTGTGCATTGTACCATCACAATAACTTATCCTAAGCTTGATGCACAAAGGTACACTGGAAATTAAAATTTCTCCAAAACCACTGTGGGTTTTTTTTTTTTTAATAGGCATTCTTTAGCTCAGTATAATTAGAGTCCTATTTGACTTTTTAAAAAGCTATATGCATTCAGATTTCCATTCTCTTCGCAACTTCTGAATAGTAGCTAAGTGCTCCAGCCACATGTTTTTCTGATCCAAGACTATTCACACGCTGACGACCCCAGACCTACAGGTGAAGTGGAGGCCAGGGTGTACGTGGTAAGAGAATTTCAAAAGCAGCATTATCAACCTTTTGATATTGCGGACAAGCGGAGGAAAAGCATGAAGCAATGTGTCGGTAAGCTCTTTGACCAGCAGTGCTGTTATTCTTAATATAACCAAAACTTCGTAATATTATTGCCAACTTACAGAGGAGTAACTTCATTCACCACAGAAATCCAGCATTTTTTTTAGTGGGAAGCAATAAAGCTACTTAACGGTGCACTGTAATATTTCCTATCCATTTAAATCACTGCTGAAAATGAATTTTAAATCCCACTGGAAGTGCAGGGAAAATGTGGGCTAGCGGTGCAGTCACACAGTTTGGAACAACTGGACAGTGGCAGAAGTTACACCTTACCAGTTTGATCTTTTGGTCCAAAGTTTTTTTGGTTTTGATTTTGTGTTTTTAATATCTCTTTCAGCATTTGATCGATATTCTACGGTTTAGAAGAATGGTGGAATTTGACCACAGTATCCCATGCCCAGGTATACCCCAATCAGTGCTTTTAGCCTTGACATCTCTTATTTTCAGAAATTAGCACACAGACACGGCTGGTGAGATCAGTAGTCTTGAGAGGGAGCAAAAGCAACATGGTAGGGTAGACAAATAGAAATAAAAAAAATAAACCCTCAAATAAATAAAATAAAACCTCAAAAGAGGTATTGACTGGTACTGTAATCCTCAAGTGTTTCCCTGCTAAGCTTATGGCCTGCTATGAACGTCCCGAGGGGACCCTCAGATATATTTTAAGTCAAATGATACGTCTTGTATTTTCTTCTGAGCTTTTGGGTTAAGTCTGATAAATTATTGTTTCTTTTCTTGTCAGTGGAAGAGCTCTCCTACTAAGTACCTAGTTTCTTCTATCAAGAGGAAGAGAGTTTGGGACAGAGTTACCCCTGCCTTCCACAAAACCTCAGAATGGTTGAGGTTGGAAGGGACCTCTGGAGGTCACCTGGTCCAACCCCCTGTTTAAGCAGGGCCAGCTAGAACCAGTTGCCCAGGATCCTGACCGGATGGCTCTTCAGTATCTCAAGGATGGAGACTCCACAAGCTCCCCGGGCAACCTGTTCTTCTGCTCAGTCACCCTCACAGTAAAAACCATTTCCTGATGTTCAGATGGAGCCTCCCGTGTTTCAGTCTGTGCCCACTGCACTGACCTTCCTTTGGCTGCAGCTCCAGCATCCTCAGAAATACCCTGTTCATTTCGATGGGAAGATAGCTTTTGCAGCTTTTTGACAATTTTGGTCAGGTTTGAAGATTTCTTTAAAGAATTTTGCCCTCCTCTTATAAAAATTTACCCAGCGTTCCGAGCTGCGCCTTGAAGTTGGCAGTTGTTACAACTCGGGGAGATTTTCAGAAGTCCAAGTTGGGTAAACTGTTGAGTTATTACTCTGTTGCAATCAGCCCTTTACCTTAAGGATCCCAGGATGTCCCAGCTGGCAGGACTTGTAAAAGGAAGCACAGCTGGAAGCAACCTATGAAACACAGGGTCAATTAGCAGCTAGAGAAGTGAGGCCAAGGAACTGATTCTCACGGTTGAAATTGTTTTCCTAACAGCCCCTTCGTGACCCAGCGCTGAGAGGCAGGAAAGAAGAGACAGGGATGGCCGCGGTGATGAGAAATTCAGCTACAGACTCTACTGATGAGACAAAGCTGTGTCATTCCCTGTCTTTTCCAGATCCTTCGGCTGTGGTTTTCTTCTGCTGAGATTGTTCCCTAAGCCAAATGGGTATTGTAAGCTACATGTAAGCCAACGCAGGGAGATCCCTCTAGATCTATACAACATCCATCTAAGAATCCCTCCAGAGAAGGGTCTTAGCCAACGACTGTGCACAAAGCAGTACGGTTTGGAGGGGTGCACCAGGGTGACACACTACATGATCTACATGAGATGGGATATTAGGAAAAATTTCTTCACGGAAAGGGTTATCCAGCATTGGAATGGGCTGCCCAGGGGATGTGGTTGAGGCACCATCCCTGGAGGTGTTCAAAAGATGGGTTGACATGGTCCTCAAGAGTATGGTTTAGTGGTTTTTTTATTGCCTATTTCTTATTTATTTTTTTGTCAGAGTTAAGTTGACAGTTGGACTAGATGGTCTTTAAGGTCCCTTCTAACCTAGACAATTCTATGATTTCCAACTGGCTGTGTGTCTGATCCTGCCCTGTTGGATGTTGGAGAGATCCGCAAAGGTGTACCTTGCTAAGGACAGCGTGTGACTGCAAAACAAGAACTCCACAGGCACTTGCAGACTCAGTTAGTGGGTGTAGCAGTACAGCTGGCAAGCTTTTAAGAAGTGTGAAGCACACTGCTGGAGCTCCATCAATAGACCTGTACTGGACCGCTCTGTGGTGGTGTGCGCACACGTGCATACACCTGGACTTGCTTCCCAGAGACTATCAAAGAGCACAGAATGTCAATTCAAACAGTATAAAAATGACCTCTGTAACACTACCGAAGTGAATACCCTTTGGCAATGACTTGTGTAATTGCTAACCACCCAAACTGAAGTCATCTAAAAGTTGTCCAAGCACCAGGTTCAGTAATTTCCTTTATAATTACATACCACAACAGCAGAGGGAGTGATTATGTATCTTCTACTCCTTTACGCTGATCACTTCCTTCCTTCTGGACACGCATAGGCTACATCCTTTCTGACCTACCTGGATGATGATTTCTACGAAATCTCACTGAGAGATATTACAAAAACGTCCCATTCATACAAACTGGCAATTTTCTTAAGTCTGTCAAGATCAGTCCTTACTACCTCCCCCAAACATGCTTCAGGTAAGCCTACAGCATCTCAGCACTACAGCAAAACTGCCCAAACCATGCAATAATTCAGCACCTTGTAGTATAAAGAGACAGAACACACAGTTTTGACAGCACATTAAATACAGCCTTCATATTAGGAAGTCACAGTAGATGATCAGCTAAACTTCTTGGTCTTAAAAGCTACAAATGAATAAAGAAGTTAGTTAAAACCAATTGAAGAGCAGTTAAGTGTTTCAGTGAGGTGTAGTGAAAGTACTTATGCTGGATTCCTTCGAAGGCAATGAAGTTTTATTTCATTAAGCTCCGATTCTACACTACTGGTGTCATCACAAGTTTATCTATTTACTTAAAAGTCGTCAGAACCAACCCCTTATCTTCAACGTACTCTCTTAAAATAGGCCAAAATACAGCAAAGCCGTACACCAGTTGCATACCCTAACATCCCATTGGCTGGAACAGTATATTAATGAATTACATCTCCATAAAACATATGATAAAGGATGAGAAGTAAACAAGCTAGAAAAGGATAGTGGCATGTCTGCCCATAAGTAATTTTCCCCCGTGATGTTCTTTCTTTCTTTAAAGTTGCAATAACACAAAATAAAACTAAATATTCCAAGCCGCTGTTTGAATTTAAGCATTAGACCAAAAAGGAAGAAAAATGGATTGGGATCACTGAGTTATTTTGTCTAGGAGAGCAGCTCCAATGCCTATCTAGTGATTTGGTCCTATGAGAAATAACAATCCTTAAGGCTTTTTACTTAGGGCTTGTTACATATGCATAATGAGCTGTAAGGGCTTAAATACCACTGCGGAGCTGTTGCAGGCTTTTAGGAGGGTACACTATCACCTACTTTGCAATGCCTTTTTAAAAGCCTTCAAATATGCAGGTCCATTCATTATCTTCACTTAAAGTGAAACTGTCACTGCCCTTGTCGAAGCAGGGGACTAACAGAAAAGTTACAGTCAATTTGTAAACAGGCAAGAGCTGCGTACGCCTGTTCACAACACTCAGCTTTGCCCAGGTGCCTAAGTCCTGGGGTTTCAATGCCCTTCCCTGCACCTTCCAACCGTTATAGAAATGTACAGTATAGTTGTAGAAATGTATACGTTATAGTTATAGACACGTACAGTACTCTGCATGAAGGGCCCAGAGATGTCACTGTCACAACAGGGACACTGTGATACCAGTGAGGAAACGCGCCGTTGCTTTTTGGTTCTTTTTGTTTGTCTGCTTTTAGATAAAGCCAGCTCTGGGCTTCCAGAGGGCTGCTAAACGTAATGCATTAAGTGCACTGTGTCGTTTGTAAAGGGGACAAAAAGGTGAGAATTCACAAGTGAAAAAGTGGCAGGCTGATTCGATTCCATAAGCACAGCCAATTTTCATGCAGGTATCTGTGGCACGTGAAATGCACCATCAGACGGTTTTTTTTTTTAAACCAGCAAAATCCAAAGTGGCTTTTTTTACCCTTTATACAGACTTTCATGCCTTACTGTTGCACAAACTTGGCATTGGGGTGATATTTCAGACACGGTGCCAAACCCGACTCTCACTTAGGGCGCTCCAGACCCGTTCACTGTTTGCTGAACGCCTGCGCTTCAAATCCACGTCGCCGTGGCTGAAAAATGTGAGCACCTTAAACGCCAGCAGGCAAAAAGGTGAGGGAAAGAGGAGTTTGCACCGCAAGGGATGTAGCGTTCGTAGGGGAGGGTAAAGGCAGCGCGGTGAGGTCAGAGCTTTCACATCATTGTGGCGTGTTCTGTAGGGGTAACCGTGCGTTTGCACACCCCATCAGGTACAGCTCTGGATGCCAAACTACTGGAGAGGCAGAATTCAGAGAATGGACGCAAGCACAATAGACCATTAGCCAAACCTACCATTGTGTTGTGCTGAGAAGTGGGAGTCCTATGGCCACAGTTCTCTTGCGTCAGCAGAGAAACTGGCTGAAATTCCTCAGAGTGAGGCTTGTTGGGAAAACTCACATGCAAGGGAAGGTGAAAGGCTGGGAGCCCGTCACTCTCCTCTTCTCCCACTTTCTGTCTGCTTGTCACCATGGCTACCTCTCCATCTGCTTCCCCATACGGAGAGGCTGGTCGCTTGGAAGACATCCTGGAAGGAACAAAAGAGGAGAAAATAATGAAACCTCCAAATAAATCCTTAATGCCGTCATTGTGTGGTTAGGGGCCATTGTAACAGAAATGCCTTTTTTGTGCTGGCAGAGAGCAGGAAACCATCCAAATACCACTGCAAAGCATACACAATTGGGAACAATGGCCAAGCAGGTAGCAACAGAACAGTGGCTTGTTTGTTGTGAGAATAATACACTAATATAGCACTTTCTTGTATTCTGGCTTCTTAAACATGAAAATTCACCTAAGAAGACTGTATAATGAAATGCAATTCCTTTAAAAAAAAAAATACCCATCTGGTTTTGCATTTGCAAGAGACTGTAAGAAGATAGAATGTGTCCCGATATAAGCTATTGTCAACTTAGCTTTTAAGGAATAATCACCCACGTGTATTTGACCATAACTGATAAAAAAGCAAAATAAAATAAAATAACTTGCTAGCAAGCCAAAACATCTATGTTTTTAAAACTTCACCAATGCGAACAACATTGCCTTACAGTCAATGTAAGAATCTTTTCAGGTTTGTAGATCTGGGATAGTTAAGCAATTAAACATTTGGACATTAATAATCTAATTTGACAACACAAATTCAGGGTTGTACTAAGTCAATGAGGATTTGCTGTCGAGATACCCTATACTTCCTACCTACAGCCAGATCAGGAAAACACACGTGTAAATGTAATTTGCACCTACGTCTATAGAAGAAAGGATACAGAAGGAAGGTAAATAGAGCACACGTTGTAAAAATCATACACAAATCTTGACTTAAAAATCAGGCCCACATTCTGAATTTTTTGAGACTGCCTGGCAACACTGTTATGATAGCACGTGTATATCCTCAACTTTTAGAAAGACCAAAAGAATCCTTATGTCATTGGAAAGTCCAATTTTCATCCAAAGCAGGAACTATTGAAAATCTTACAGGACAATCTGAACCCAGAACGCTTCTGGCTTAGTCTTCAAAATAGAGGGGTCCAGTGAAGTATTAAAATGCAGACGACTTCTGGGATTAATTACAGCAACATTGTTCATGAAAATCAGGGTATGTGCATGGATGGCATAATGGGCCACTGTGCAAAGCAGGGGCATCTGTAATAAGGAGTGGAATGAGAAGTAAGAAATCCTATAGGCATAGTCAAAAGAAGAAAAGAAAGACAAAAAGAGAAATATTTCACGAAAAATAGGAAATTATGAACAAGGAAACTGAAGACTATTGTATTAAAAAGTCGAGAAGACAGGCTGAAGAATACTGCTCCTCCTCAAAAATCTAGTATTTATGATTCTAATTACCCCATTTTGATTTTCCACTTCACAGTTAAAGAACTGCATTTGAAAAGCCCAGCAGCCTCTTGAACCATGTGTGGGGCTGCTGTGAGGTGGAGCATGTCCATACGATTTGGCATATTGAGCACGAAATGGTTCTTAGCAGCAGTCAACTGGGTCTGAAAACAAACAGTGACTTTAAACAGCCCTTTGTTAGGACTTATTTTGTTTCTAATGATCTCATTTTGAGCTTTGCCTCCTGAGCCAAGTTAGATTATATTAAAAAAGAAAAAAAAAAACCCCACACCAAAAAACCCACACGACAACAAAAACAACTGACACACAGAAAAAAAAAAACTCAGACAAAAAAAATCCCTACCAGAACCTATACTCAGCTGCACATCGCCTGTTCTGAACACCACCTATTGCTGGTACATAGAGAAGCAATCTGTATTTTCTATTAATGTTTGACTTAGTCCAACAGACTAACACTTCATACATCCTACCTGAATTCTGTCTTCTAGGCTTTCCCACCTACGTGTCTGCAGCGAAGCATATGTATAAAGACAGAGATCACCAGATAGACTCTTACTGGCAGTTTTCTACTAGCCCACTGAATTCAGCATTTTACAGCTATGTTTGACGTGACAGATCCCAAGCTTTTCTCCTGCAGAAACCATGCAACTCCCTCCTGAAGTTAATGTGAATTATTCATATTCTGCATTGCACCGCACCAAGATACACACTTGCTATTGATACCGAGTGTAACATTTTAGTGACCTCTTTCAACGCTGCCTTAATAGGACCTTGGGCTTTTTTACAAAAATCTCTCTTTCTGAAAATCAGCACTAAGTGGTTGCTTTAAACAAAAAGGGAGGGACACAAAATCATTAGTGAATTATTCCATAATATACTCTATTTTAGGACATTTTTATTCAATAAGAGGACTAAAACCACTGTAAACCATCCACAAGACTCTACTACAATTCACTTTGACAATAAAATACAGAGAGAGAGAATGCCTTCCTTAGTATTCATGTATTATCTACTCTATACCCAAGTTGTGGTACCAACTCCTACTGCTGTTAACCCAGAATAACCTAGATTCTGTCTCATTGCTTCACGAGGAGAGTTTGACTCTCATGTTGAAGTAAAGTTCTGTTAATTTTATCAGTGAATAAATGGTTTCCTCTACTGTGTTCGATTAGCGTTCTGCAGATCATCATCACCTTCTGCTTGTCACTGTTCCCAACAGATATATATGTTGGGATATATCTCTCTAAAAATATATATAATATATACATAATACATATAAATATATATTATATAGTATATATCATTTTCTGCAGGGAATTTTTAAAAACAGACAAGGAAGGCAATACAAGTGACCACCTCTTTGCACTAGCAATAACAGATTATTATGGTTTTGATCTAAACCAGAAACCTATGGGTCGGACTGTAGGCCAACTCACAGTGATACTGGAGAGGGAAGAAGAAACTTTCTCCTTCCTCACGCAGCTCTTACAAGATCCAGTTTCAATTACAAACTCCTCATAACACTAGAAAGCTAAGAAATTGCTAAAATAGCTAAGGTGGCAAAGTAATGGATCTAATCTGCCTTGGTCTTCCAAGTGACCAGGACACTCAAAGAAATGGTTGCACAACCCTAGGGTGACAGAGAAACTCAAGAGGTTTCCCACAGCTCAGACGATGACTCCAATTTGCTTTCAGGTAGCTCTGTCCGTAGCCAACGTGATTTAGGCATAATCTGGTTTTTCAGAGATATCATCATCCCCTTTAACATCAAACACAAACCCCACAATTTCACAGAAAATGTGTACTCCTTATGAACATCTGGGAAATTTCCACAAGAAAAGGGAAGATTTAAATAAATACATAAATCCTTCTCTGTGTTTGAAAATGTCTTCCAAAAGGACAGTAACTATCAAAGTCTATTGCAGCAAAGGATCAAATCACTGATAGGTTCACGAGCAGCAAACAACATGATACAAGGAGAACTCATTCTCAGGTGGTCTTTCATTATTTCTACAGGTTTCTTGGTCCCTCTTCCAAATTTGAAATGTTCTGACACCATGTATACTTGAACTCCCTCCTAATAAATCTTCTTTTTCCTACTGAGATAATACAGAATCCGTTGAGACGTGGTATCTGAGATACAAGTGCAGTTCCCATTATAAACAATAAGCCGAGGGCAACAGCTAAATTCTGAGTAAGAACCCTACCTGAAACTGAGCTCTTTTAAACAGATCTAGGTCTAACGAAAGACTGGAATTATCCCACCTTAACAAAGGACTGCAAACATCCTTGGATCTATCTCGACAATAACATGACAGTTTACAGCTTACATGACTTGTAGATCTTTTCCTCAAACTAGATCAAACTCAGGAGAGTTTTCAATTACACCCCTCTGAAAGAAGGTTTACAACAAGAGGGGAAACATCAATTTCCTCAAACATAACTTATGGATAGGATTAAAAAAAAAACCCAAACTGCAAGATGCAATTCTCAAAAAAGCAGCAATTTGGTGAACTAGATTCTGAATCTAGAAGGGAGTCTCTGCAGATGTAATCTGTTGTAATTTAAGACTTGCAAGAAGAGTTGCATTTAGAACTGATATCAATCATTTCTATGGAACATGAATCATGATTTTTTTTTTTTTACAACTTAAATCTGCAAAGTTCAGACCCAGTGGGCCACAGGCAGTACTCAGCCCACTGTAGAGACACATTGGAGTTATGAAACATACCCCCATACTTGATTTTTATCAGTGGTTAGAATGGAACTAAAGATCAAATTCTGGTGACAAATTCAAATATTACCTTATTTCTTGTAAAGGAACTCTTTTTTTTTTGTTTCTGGAAAGGCTTCATAATATGCAGAAATTGCAGTAAAAACCAGGTCTTTCGTTAAATTTTCTTTAAATAAATGCTTTTCCTGGTAGCAAGAAGGTTTTTTTTCCAGGGAAGTAAAATCCCACTCTTCTAACTCGCTCTTATCCCACAAATATTTGATGTAATTCATCTTACAATAGCTTCTCCACATATTTCTTTACTCCCTTTCAATTTACAACAGAATCATTGTAGACTTAAACTGATACCCTTTGTCTACTGATCTCAGTGTTTTTGGACTGGCTACAGCACGGCTGGATTTTCCCCACTGGAGAGAGTAAGAGGTGCACTACATCCACATGGATCGTTTCCTCATACCACCAAAAAGCGTTGGTTCCACCCATATAATTACCAAATACCGTTATTTTGTTTGGGTTTTTTTCCCCCCTTGATTTCAGTGCCTAAAAAAAAGTCATCTTTCCACAGCTCTATTTTTCTTATTATTTTTAACAGAACCTCATTTAAGTGTTCCCACTACATTTCCATTTGTTCATTGGTTTTGGTTCATTTCATACGTGATTCTATACCCAAAATAAACCTGAAATGGTATCCAGTACTCAAGGAGATAGTGCCCTCTAGCACACAACCAGTATCCGTCCCAATTTGATTGCTCATGCCATAAAATTTCATAAATTTATGTCATAAAACTCTAATCTCGTTACATTAAGCAAAATACCTCAGAAACATTTCAGATACCCACAAAAGCTTTTGGAGAAATGGCTTATCCATGTCTTCAAAAGTGACAAACACAGATGTGTCAGGAGAAAAAGATATGAGGCCATAAATCTTAACTTGTTGGGAGTTAAT